AAATGCTACAGACTGAACGGTAGTGTACCCATTATCAGAAAGTTTCTTGATATCAGAAGCATTAATGCCAAATTCCTGCGCGGTTTACTTCGTTTAGCTGATGAGGTATGTACCTTTATATCTGTTATTAAGTTTAACATAATCTTAACATATATATATATATATATACAATTACGTGTATCTTAGTTTGGCATCGCAGTAGTTATTACAAATCAAGTTGTAGCATCTGTCGATGGAAACATGCTATTTCCTGGTGCTTCTGATAAAAAGCCCATCGGTGGAAACATTATTGCACATGCATCAACAACAAGGTGGTCATGAAATTTTGATTTTGAAATAAATCTATCGTAATTTAATATTAACAAAAATTTCAGATTATATTTACGTAAAGGAAAAGGTGATAATCGAATTTGCAAAATTTATGACTCTCCATGTCTTCCAGAAGGTGAGGCCACTTTTTCGATCGGACAGGGAGGAATTGAAGATGCAAAGGATTGAAATTCTGTTAAAATATATGTCTTAAAAAGTACGTGTTATTTATAACTTTTTATATTGCAATTGATATTTCGTATTCATTTAGTAATTCTCGCATGTATTTGTTAATACACATTTATGATCTAGGTTTTTATGAAATTTATACTATAATTACGTGATAGATGCGTCCTCAAGAATAATGTAATCAATCTGGTGAAAACTAATTCAATTTGAGCACTTATTAATTAGTTCCAAAATATTTTGCAAAAGTGATTTCTATATACATTTATTATTTTTTACACCTTAGAATATTTAATGTTAGTTAAAAAATAGAATGTAATTAAAAGAATATGTTTAAAATCAATCAATAATTTAAAAAACAAGCTTAATAAAATTTAGCTATCAACTTTAAATGTATAACGATAACGATAACGGTTTACTAAAGCACACCACTGAACAACGCCAGGGCATAGGATCGATTTTACTGCCACATGATTTCCGACGCATATCAGCCAATCAAAGATCAGGATCAAGTGTAACGTAAAGAAATTCAAAACAAACGTTCGCTTTGCAAAAATCGCATTTATCTCAAAATTTAGTCTAGTAAACC